AAACATCTTGATAATTTATGTAATTCAAAAAAAATCTGGCTATAATAAAAGTGACTTCAATGCGAAAATATTGGCTACTAAAGTGCTCTACAGATAATAAACTATACTGGTCTGATTAATGAGAAAAATATCCTCTTTTGCACAAACCAACATTCTCATTAAAATCCACAGTTATATGTTCTTAGCATTTGTCAACCCACATTTCCTATTTGTTTTCATGTATTATTTAAATATATACTCAATATTCCCTCCTCAGGAAAGATAACGCAAACAACAAACCTCATAAAAAAATGTATATATTTTTTTTCAGATACCTTTTTGCATGATTCCAAGTAGACATGAAATACTTATATATAATATATGGTTTAATATTTAATGTATATTATAATGAACCATATATTTTGAACGTTTCATTTAAGTTCCAATTAAAAATGGAACATAAGATACATATACAGGTGTCCCCCAGTAACGAGCGTAATGAAGCTTAAGATAAAGAAGCTTTTAGTCAAAATATATGTCCTGTCGGCATCGAACAAGGCAACTTCAAAAAGGCATCGGTTTGCATTTCATTTGTCTTGGGTCTTTTGCCAGCGTATTCAAGTGATAAGTAAATAAGTCTGTACTGCACGGCAAAAATTGTCAGGTAACCTGAACATTTTACTTGATGTGGTAACACCTTAAATTCACTGGTTTTATTAATGTCAAAAATGTAGATTAATTTAAAAATAAATTAAATCTTAAACCTTACATTAACTGTTTTTATTCATGGATACACAAAATAATGTTCTTTTTAGCAGCATCATATGACCCCTTTAAATTTAAACAAACTGGTTTTAGGTCAAATAAAAGTGATTTAATTTAAGATAAAAACCATTTTTATTTTGTATTTAATGTATTATTAAAGATAAATCTATTAAATCTTATTATAATAGGTTATACCAACAAAAGTACTTTTAAGGGTTAGAGCAAGTAGAAATAGATCCTTAATGAAAGTTGCCACTTTTACAGAGTGATACACCTAAAACTAAGCATTCAACACTGCTCTGCTTTTCTTGTATTTCTCTTTTATTAATAAGCAGCTATTGTGAATAATTAATTCTGTTGGATCTGATTTACCAAGCACAAATAAAACTCTGGAGCAGACGGGGTTACCAGCCAATCCGGTAATGATATAATGAGAATTTTCTTATCAGGTTTTTCAATTCTGGATGAGTTTTGAATAATAGCTATTCTCTGGTTAAAGATAATTTGCTATTTCAAGCCATAATATTTTGCTTGCGGCTCAGGAGCATTATTAGCTTTCCCATTTCTAATAATGAATAAGGAATCGTGCCATAATGGGGGAAACCTGTACATTGTTGTCCTGTGACTCCTCTTTGACTGTCACTCGATCATAGTGCTTGTGTGTTTCCATCCGTTGCATATTTCATTTATACCTGGACATCCAAATATAAGAATTTCATGGTGCTGTAACTTACAGCTAAATCAATTCAGGCCCTGGGCAGAATTGAAAACTAATGTTATACCCTGGAAAATGCCCTTCAACAGAATGACACGCTTACAGCTGATACATATTCAAACCCTGACATTCATATTTGAAACATGATTCACACCTTAGATACTCCGTTTTGCTATCATCAAGTCGACCTGCACACAAACTGCTATGATTCTCAGGAAAACACTGGACGGTGTCACGAATGGAACATTCATATGGACATATGAACAATATATTTTGAAATAGAAGTGAAACACTGACATACCACAGTGTTCGCTCTCAGGTTATATTAATACACATATTCCTTACATTGCGAACGAATAAAAACATCATGACCATCCATTTAGGTTTGGTAATAAGCTTAAATGGACATCGATTTGGTTCAAAAACAACCATTAAATAATTTCCTGATATGTCAGAAATCAAATACTCCTTTTATAATGTGTCTTAACGTAATCATTTGGTATTATTTCATGCCAGTCGTGTCATTTCAATTCAAAAGCTTCTAATTATCAACTCTATGTGATAACTACAGTGCACATGTTCGCAAAGTGTAACAGTTACATTTGCACTGCCAAGCATTGTTGATCGTTTACACAGTAAGCCTGAAAATGCATAGTGAGTGTATTTCAGGTGAAAAGAAAATCATTTTGATCCATGTACTGTAAAACACTTAAAGGAATAGTTTTGCCCAAAAACTAAATTTGCTGAAAATGTGCGCACCCTCAGGTTGAGGAGTTTGTTTCTTCATCAGGACAGATTTGGATAAATTTTGCATTATATCACTTGTCCAAACAGCTGATAAAAACATCACAATAATCCATGAATAAGCCACACCACTCCAGTCCATCAATTAATGTCTTGTTTAGACGTTAAAGACATCAACTTTAAAACTGGCCAAAATATGAGTTCATAATTCATAATAACGCTTTGTCCAGGGGAAAAGTCCGTCCTCTGTTGTCCTCTCACATGAAAATCCACCAATATATCTGTTTTGAAATTTTTTGGACTGTTTTCACTTATAAACGGTGCTTGATCTGTGCATATTTCTCTCCTGATTCAGATATTATGGGATATGGACTTGTATTTCAGCCGGAAGCAATGGTTTGAAGTTAAAAACATCCTGATGGATGTGTTTCTTACATTCACTTCACAAGACATTAATTAATGGACTGGAGTCATATGGATTACTTGTGGATTATTGTAATGTTTTTATCAACAGTTTGGACTCTCATTTTGACGGCGCCCATTCACTGCAGAGGATCCATTGGTGAGCAAGTGACGTAATGCTAAATTAAAGGGTTAGTTCACCCCAAAATTAAAATTCTGTCATTAATTACTCACCCTCATGTCGTTCAAAACCCATAATCATGGCAAAATTTTAGCCCGATTTTGCCACGATTTGCTTGACGTAGGGTGTCGTGGGGAACTATAGTGGAAGCGCTTCAGCAATGTTTACACTCTTGTTTTCGGAAGTCAGTCGCTAGTTCCGCCTTCTCGATGACATCACGCGCGTCGTTAAAGACGGCACGTGATGAATGGTCGGGAAGCAACGTGTAGTCTGACATATTTCTTGTCCGCGCCACGACAAGATTTTAGGAGTCAAAATCGTGTAATCTGACACAGTGACTATCGTGTCCGACAAAAATATTGTGTAGTCTGAACCTGGCATAAGACAACACAAATTAAGATATTTTTGATGGAATGTGAGAGCTCTCTGGCCCTGCATAGACAGCAACGCAACTGAAATGTTCCCAGACAGAAACGTAGCAAAGAGATCTGTAAAATAATCCATGTGACATCAGTGGTTCAACTTCAAATTTTGCGTAGCTACGAGAAAACTTTTTGTGCACAAAGAAAACAAAAATAACATAATTTATTTAACAATTCTTCTCCCCCGAGTTACGTCTTCTGCCATTTTGGAGAGTACCCAAAAACGTAATCGGCGTTGTTTACGTTAGGGGGTAAAGCGCGTGCATTAACGTAGTCTGCGTAATCAGCGTTGTTTACACTTAGTGTAAAGCGTGCGTATCCGTTGTGATACTCTCCAAAATGGCGGAAGACAGTAACTCGATTTGCTGTCAAATATGAAAAATTCTGTCCAGTGGAAGCTGTAGCTCATCTCAAAAATATTTCAGTCACAATATTTGGATTTCATCTAAATAAAATGAACTTTTAAGCTGCTCCAGTTTGCGTGTGCATTGTGACCAAAAAGTGTTTGAAAGATAGTATCTTCGCCAAAAAAAGTTTATAAATATGTAGGATTGCAAGAAACCACATCTCCTTTCCAAAACCTAGTGAGATGCATGCCTAGGCAATCTTTTAGGCAGCATACACTCTTAAAAATAAAGGTGCTTCAAAAGGTTCTTCAAGCGATGCCATAGAAGAACCATTTTTGGTTCCACAAAGAACCATTCAGTCAAAGGTTCTTTAAAGAACCATCTCTTTCTTGCGTTTTTGTAATCTGAAGAACCTTATTTCGCCACAAAGAACCTTTTGTGAAACAGAAAGGTTTTTCAGATGTTAAAGCTTCTTTATGGAACCATTTAGACAAAAAGGTTCTTCTATGGCATCGTGAAGCACCTTTATTTTTAAGAGTGTAGGGAAATTCCAAACGTATTATGCCGATTATGCATCACAAATATCCTTCACAGATAAGACAATCTAAGATGTATTGCGACCAACTCCATGAAAGCCCATGAAAGTTGGTGGATAGAATTGAGGGGAATGTGAATGAAAAATGTACTGAAAAGTAATGATACAAATATATTATAACCATACGTATGTCTTCTTTGTGCTATTTAATCAACTGCGAGTTAGTCAAGTCTTTGTGCATTTCACCTACTGTAAGAAGAAGCTGTATTTGTATGTCACACATACACCATCATTCAAAAGTTTGGATTTGAAAGATTTTTTAAAGGTTTTTGAAGCGATTTTCTTATGCTCACCAAAGCTACATTGATTTGAGTGTTTTCTATTTTAATATATTTTAAAATGTAATTTATTCCTGTGATGCAATGCTGAATTTTCATCATCATTACTCCAGTCTTCAGTGTCACATGATCCTTCAGAAATCTAATATGCTGATTTGATGCTCAAGAAAAAAAAAATTGTTTTGCTGTTCTGCTTAACATTTTGTGAAAACTACTTTTTTTTCAAAATCCATGATAAATATAAAGTTAAAAAGAACAGTGTTTATTTGAAATATAAATCTTTAGTAACATTATAAATGTCTTAACTGTCCCTTTTGGTTAATTTAATGCATCCTTGCTGAATAAAATTATTATTTATTTAAAAAATACTGACCCCAAACATTTGAATGGTATGCCTAGATCAAGATATTAAGATTTTTGGGTGGATCTTCATGCACCAAATTCTAATTTAGCCCCTCTATACACCTTACAAAATTAAACAAAATTATGAAATGGTTTTGACAGGAAAGTAATAATAATTCAACTTGTATTTCAGCCAGAGCTGTGCATTAAGAAAGAAAAAACATTCTTACTGTCAATGTCAACCTGGCAGTCCTCAGGATTTTCGATGTGATTCTCCTCGGTCATGATGATATTCTCGATGTCCTTCATAGTCAGGTGGTCACAGAAGGTTTCGTATAAGAGTCTCTTCAGCTCTTCCACAGTCAGCTTCTGCATATCACACTAAAAACAGAGACAAAACCGTATGATTTCATTCTGAAATTCTCTGATGTTTAATTAGTCTAAATGCATTACATTTATGCATTCTGTAGATGCTTTTATCCAAAGCATTAAAGGTATACATTTGTATCAGTTCAGTCACGACCACTCTGTTTGATTAAGATTATTGTAGAGGTCCTGAACATTACTTTGGTGGCAGGCTTCGCTCTGAAGTGTTCAGATTCTGAGCTGTCCACAAGCAAACCTCGCTGAGGTTTGAACCCCCCGAAGCCTAAGCAATTACCAGATTTTTTTTATAGGCAGCAGTTATATAATCCATGCAGAGTAATACAGTACTGTAAATGAAATTGGACAGATTGAGCAACGGTGAGCTGAGATGAGATATCTCTGTGGAGAAGCAGTTATGTGATCATGTATCTGTATAAGGAGGAGCTGGGGATGGAGGACGGGTAAGCATATGTCTGTGAGTACGGATGCACTTATTTATCTTGTTAACTGATAGTGGGAGGAGTTACGATCAGCTGAGCATTCAGTCGCTCAAACTACATTTCATGCATCCATGCAACTTGAGCAAACTTTATTAAAAGTCAAAATTAAACAGCATATGCAACCCATTTTATTTCTATAATGTCTCATATTTCATGATTTTGTCCTTTAGGTATTAATTGGATAATTAAAAGTGGACTGAAGGACATCTTTCCAGAAAGTTGTTTTGTTTTGCATACATTTTGATTACAAAGACAAGTATCTTTCCTTTGAAACAACATGCACTGATGGATTTCTGACCAGGAATGTTTCGTAAAAAAGTAGATGAGGTTGATTTAGATTTCAGTACACATATACAATATATATACAGTATATGCACATATTCATAGCTCTGAACTCATAATCACACAGAGAGACGTTTACGAGGGAGACCCCCGTAGCTATTTGGGGTCAAACGCGCTGCTAAAAAATGCACCAGCAGCGAGCTGTGATTAGAGAAGCAAACCCTTTGGGGGAATCACCATATGGTCCGTACAAATGATATTCTGCTCTTCTCACTCGCAGACATGCAGTGGAAGGGACTGTTATGAAATCTATTAATGAATCTTGCTTAAAGTCATCATGTCACATAACAATATATCTGTACTGAAATGTATTCAAATATGCAAATTTGGCTCATGTTTACAGGATAGGAGGCAATTCCCATAAGGTGATTCATGTCTGTTTGTTGGATTTCATAGACAGCATTGAAAGTGTATCTAATCTGGTTTCTGTGTGTGACAGGGACAGACGGAAGCAGCACACTTTGTGCCTGTTGTCACTTGGAATAAGACAGGAATGGCTAATAATCACCTTCCAGAACACAGAGTCAAAATTGGTTCCGTTGAACTTGTCAGGCATACCGGCAGCCGAGAGTTTGGGCCCCAGGAGAGTAACAAATTCCTCAAAATCCACCTGGCCGTCTCCTAAAAAACAGAGCGTGACGTATTAGATGCATTCTGAACTGAACTGAGAATGCCTGCAGTGAAAATTCCTGCAATTGAATCAAATTTGCATTGAGGAATCAACGTGATGTAGAAGTGTAATTTGAATTTAATAAAGAATTAAAATGGGATGAAAATAAATCATATTCCTGCAAAGTCTTTTAATAATATGAATTACCCATAAACATGTTATCAAAAGCTATCAAATAGAGTTTGTGAAAAGCTAATAATTCATTTAATCCTAAAAATGAAAAATGACAATAAATAAACAACTTAAAAACAAAACAAAATCTAAATGAAACACTTACTAAAAATGTTAAAAATTGTATTTGTTTATCTGCATGCCTTGTCACCTTACCAGCATCAGGAGAACTGTGAACATTACTGAAATGTTAACTTAAAATTTCAGGGGGTAAATATTAAGTAAATACTGTATTTTAGGTCAAAAGGTTGACGGAGAAAAAAGTTTGGGAATCCTGGAAATCGAGTATTTCTAGAAACATTCGATGATTTCAATAATCAATACCACCAACAGAATTTTGTTGTTAATTAATATTAATCGTATTTAATATATATATTTTTAACAAATTAACTTACATGTAATGGACCATGGCAGGAGAATTTTGTGATTAAAATGACACTGCTTTGATGACTGTGTTAATAGTCATGTCTAATCAGGTAAGACAAAATTATTTCACATATCTGAGAGTAAACAGCTGTAGTTAAGCAATGACAATTAATGATAATGATTATTATGTAGTTAAATGAAACTGCTCTGTTAAAGGATTATTTGCAATTCACAAATATTCAACAGTCATTGTTTATTATTTGTGAACTGCAATTCAATAAATTCCTTTTCCTGTGACACTCCAGTTTGACATCCTGGCCAATTCACATTCAAACTCATTAATTAAGATGAAGCAAATTTCCATGCCTGAGTTTCCATGCCAGACTGATTAGTTTATCATTTTTTTTCTCTTTCTCTCTTTTTTTTAGCTTCAATATTTTTAGTGTCAGACTGAGTGTAAGTTCATGGAGTGGGTTTTATCTAGCTGAAGACTACATCTTCATCTACAGCCATCAAAGCACCGCTTTCGCCTTCAATTCATTTCAAGATGCCTACTGTGAACAGTGTTCTCATTATTAGCAAATGCATAATCCCTATGTCTCCATGCATTGTGAAGAATATGATAGTTTGGAGCAATAAAAGATTACAGTTATTTAGCTTCTTTATTTGTTGAATATCTGTCAATTGTGCTTGGTATCCCTACAGCGACCAAAAAATGCATCTGATTGGTGTCTGGCGGGCTTCCTTAAAGGGATACTTCACTGAAAATTGAAAACACCCTTATGTTGTTCCATACTTTTATCTTCTGCAGAACACAAAAGACAATATTTTGAAATAAAAACTTGGAGATATCTCTTCTTTTCTGTTCCTCAGAATACAAGTTTGGGATGACACAAGCAAATGAGCACATATTCACTAAATATTAACATTTTTGGATGAACCGTCTCTTACTATTAAAAAAATCATAATTTTAACTGTAAAAAAGTGTAAACATGCTACAGTAAAAAAAAACTGTAATTGGTTAATGCTATAAATTATCTCACTATATACAGTATATTTTAAAAACTGTAATATTATGTTTTACAGTAAAATACTGTTAAATTTAGTTTTTGAAAGTCATCTTATACTTAACAGTGAAAAATCTCAAATTGTCATTCCCAGAAATCCCATTTGATGTTTTTTCACTGAAGTAACTGTTTCTTCTTAGTCTTTAGTTATCAGTTGTGTACATTAGAGTTTTATATTACATCTTACGTTGTTAAAATATTACCATGATGGTGTTTTGTATTTGTGTGAAACTGTGCACCTTCTATATATTAGTATTTACTTCAGCTTGTGGAAAAGCTACCTATGATAATATTTGATGTATAATGTTGCTTTTTCATTAACACCTGTGTTTTTATGGTGGTTGTCTGTTTATTATACAGGTTTAAAAAAAATTTAAATTTCTACCCGCCTTTCCCTGGCAGCATTTAAAAAAAAAAAAAAAAGTTGCCAGCCACGGCCAACATTTTTAATCATTTTCACAACATTTTCATGGTCCCCAAAATATTGTGTTGTAAAAGATAGAACAGGCCCACTGCTTTTAAACAAAACCAAACGTTTTCTTCTAGCTTCATGCATATATTTTTTTAAATCAACACTTGAATGTAAGTTTCATTTTGAAAAAGCTACATTTTGAACAAAAAGCTGAGAAAATTGCATTTTTTTGTAAAAGTCTACTTTTGGATCGGATTCAAAACGATGATCTTATATGCTGTTTAATGCTTGATGATCACGTTATTTTACTTATGCACCTGCTTACATACGTGGCCACTTGTTTCTGCTTTTTCTTTGCCATATTTTGATCCAGACATTCAGTATTCTTTCAGAAGATGCGTAATAGCGCCTCCTAGCGTATAACAGTGAAAATACAGAAAGCTGGAAAATTCTGTCAATGGTGGGGAAAGATTTAATAAAATATATTACTTTTTTATTGTAAATTGAAGTTCAATCCATAAAACCTAAAAAGTTGCTACGGTACTTTGCACGTTCTGGCTGCTGTTTTTTTTTTCTTTTCCCCCAGCACATCAGCGTCCCATGCTGAGGGAGACTAGCTAGCTATTCTGGTCTTTTCATCATGGCACTCCATTCACAGTCTTGTGCATGTGTCTCCTCACCATCCATGTCGAGTCTTTGAATGATGACCTCCAGCTCGACCTCATTGGGCATGTACCCTAGAGAACGCATGGCCATGCCGAGCTCCTGCTTTGAGATGAAGCCATTCCCATCTCGATCAAACACCTTAAATGCCTCCCGGATTTCTGAGGAAGACAGCAACACACAGATATGTAAGACGGTGCTTTATATGTCCAATGTTAAAACTATTACTCTCTACAACATTGTTATAAGAGACAGATATTCAAATCATCACACCCAAGTGGCTCAAAGAAAAGGGATGATTGCAGTATATTGATTTTTCACACAATAATGCACTTTCAAATTCAGCAGAGCGCAGTCCTTCTTGACTTGATTGATTTAAAACAAAGGAACAGGATGATTTCCGTTGCATCCGAACAGGCTTGTTAAAAGACGTTAAAATGCCGCAATACATACGGTTGGTTGAGCCAACTTGTTTCACCGTATATGTGTTATACATCATCATTAAGTCATTTGCAATTTTCCACTTGTCACACCATGATGCCAAATTCATAATTATGAAATATGAGCCACTCTGGCTGCAAGATATTACTATAAATCCAGATAATATATTCAATACTGAGTGTGAACAGGAGTATTTACTACTGTGCTTTGCTCACTGTGCTGTAGGTTTGATAAATGGCTATTTGGACATGGGGTCCAAACAAAAACAGCATATTAAATCTATCGCTCCTCTGAGTGAAGGAAATTAGGGAGGAAATATGAGAGAAATACAAGAAATGATGGTACTGCGGTCCAAATAAGCCAACAGCAACAGATGGTGAAAGCAACTTTACTCTGCATTCCAGTGGAAGTAAGCAGATTTCAAACGGAAGCGAAGTCTGGGCTCTAATTTGCTCAATTCAAAGCAAAACAATTTAGCTGCAAGCAACACATTTGGAGGCCGGGAAAAAGAAATGTTTTAAAGAAAACTAAGATGGTTCTAGGATGCCCTATCAACCAGACGAGAGAAAACTCAAACTGAATATTCAGAGTCATTAGCATTTGATTGTAATGATTATTAACACGTTCATTAGGCAGTCGTGGCCTAATGGTTAGGGAGTTGGACTCGTAACACAAAAGACACGGATTCAAGTCTCTGTACCGGCAGGGATTGTACGTGGGAGAGTGAATGACCAGCAAAAAGTGCAGACCACAAATTCCCAGAATGGGACACCATACTAGACTACACTTCACTTATTCAAGAAGCTCAAAAAGTAGATCATAAGTGTATGAAACACATTAACAACCAGAGGTGGGAATTATTTTAGTCATTTTTAAGAAAGAAAAATGCAATTTAAAGGCACAATATGCAATTTTCGCTGCTAGAGGGCGCGTATTCAAAATGAACAAATAGACAAAGGCGTAGTTTGATGACGCGTGACTGAGTGTGGAATCATGGGAGTTGTGGTCTTCATCCCAACAGCCGATGCAATCCGACGGGACTCGGGCAGAAATCATGTTCATAGATGAGCTAATGATTTATTAGCGTAGTAGAATGAAGCAGGGTGAGGCTGAAAGCCGTCGAAGCGCAACGTGGCCGCTGAATGAGCGTGACACGCGGCTCGAAAGCAGCGGAGCTTTTATTATGCCACAGTCGACCACTTCCACTCCTTCCGGTCGTGCATATGTGGGGTAAAGCAGCGCTGTTTTATCATACTAGATATGTTTGAAAGTTCTGTTATAATGCTACTCTGTGCGGTCGTCACCGGTCTATTAAAACGCACAACATATTAAAGCGTCTTTGGTTTTTCCATGTTTTCTACAAAACAAAACCGGAAATCGAGGGGTTGTGACGTCATTGGTAGGCGGCACAATAACACTATGGACACGCTCCGTGTCACTAGATAAAATAGCTTATTTCTCTGGATTTAAACATTCTTCGAAACATTTGGGATAATGTAAGTACACAAGTCAGCAAAATATATAACACTGTTCTAGTGGTTTTTGGATATTTTGATTAAAAAATCTTACATATTATGCCTTTAATTGTCAAAAGATGAGATAGTTTTGATGTTTAAATAGACTTTTAATGGCTTTCAGATGTTTCACAGATGCAATCCAATAATAGGCCTTAAGCATATATTTCAACAATACTAAACAAACAAACAAAAAAAATGTAACTACATGGCTAATTACTTTGAACAACCTGTAACTGGGTCAAAGATGAAAAGGGGTTTTCAAGCATCAAAACAATACACGTTTAATACAGCTTAAATGTTATTTGTACGTTAGAATGTCTTGTTTATTTTTTTTCCTGAGCAAAAATAATGACTATCATAGATTTTTACCATGATTTACAGAAGACATCCACTAAAATGTCATTCAGTGTAACAATAGTTCAAATAACAAAAGAACTTGTCAGGCATATTCAGGACAAGAGTCATTAAACGATGGAACATTATTTCACCCGCATTTTGAAATTTTATTTTATTTTGAAAAGTTATTTGACACATTAAAGCAGACACTTAACTTGCATTTAATATGCTTTTTATGTATATAAAATCATTTTTGCTAATTTAATTTGATGTGGACACCAAAATGAGAGATCTTGTCTTTGACCCGAATATACAGCGTTTGATTAACTAAAGTTTTAATATACTAAATATACTAAAGTTTTAATAATAATAATAATAATAATAATATAAAAAATACTAAAGAATCAATTTTAATGGTATAAAAGTTAATAAATGTTGTGCAGTATGTTTATGTGTATTATAACATTGTAAAACACAACAGGCCTCTTGTCTGAATATATTCTGATTGACAGACAGGTCTGCCGGCCTCCGCTCACTCTAGCACGCCGTGTGTGACGCTGTGTTTCGTTGTGAAAGCAAAACTACTTTGTTTGGTCTTCCAAAAGAGGACACGACTAGAAATCAGTGGTTAAGTTGTATTTACAACACTGTTCCAGAACACTTCATCCCAAATATTCAGATGTGTGCAGCACATTTTATGGAGGACTGTTTCCTGATCCTGGGAGAGTAGACTACAATGCCGCCTGTTCTGACTCACAGACTGTAAGTAAGTTTTCATATTTAAAGGATTTGCCACTTATGATTCAAACGCGAGTTTTGAGCAGTGTAGAGTAGCGCTTGTTGTTTGTCATTTCTCCGATCACAAATGCAGACATGGTTTTATGTTTACGTGGCACGATGCAACGCAACACATAAAAAGACAGTATAAGTCATTATAATC